CGGAGGGCCGGGTTTTCTTAGTGCCGGTTTGGGCGGTGAGGGGTTTCACCCCAGAACTCGGTTTTTAACCCGGAACCGGGGGTGGGTTCGGATCTAGCTTCGGAGGGTTTGGCGGTGGTTCCTCGATTTCGGTTCTGGACCTGGGTTTGGCCTTCTCAGTGGCTCATCTGGCTACGATGCTGGAGAAGGGTTGGGGCTCCGGCCGCCACGAGCTGCCCGCAGAGTCTACTAACGATCAGAATTCCGAACATTCCAACCACTCACGAAACGAAGAAGAAGCAATCGGCTTAACCATCTAGAGATTGCATGGAGGGTTCACGGTGTGAAGATTTTTCGGAGGAAGAAGAGGCACAAAAAGAGAGCTTCCAATAGTATATACCGAAATGGATGGCGGATTTAACAATGGTGTTCCTAGAAGAATAGCTTGGAGGTGAAGGAGAAGCGATTGAGGGAAGCGACGGAAGCAAGGTGAAGGGAGAATGGAAGAACCATGTGAAATTACAATTCTATCCTTGGGTTTCACGATCACCCTAACAGAGGACGAAATTGTCTTAAAATTAGAAAGTTAAAGGACTTAATTGGTTGAAATTAAAAGTTGATGATCAATTTGTGAATTTAGCTATAGTCGAGAGACCATTTTGTGTATTTACTCATTCTTCTACTTTACTATGTTCCTATCTTTTCTGAAGAATTCACTATATCCACCATTCCAGTACAAGAAACAACGAACACGATTTAGTGCTTTGATCACAAAGTTAATACTAATTAATCTTAAGATTTCATAACTCTTTGGCTACTTTCCTCTATTTACCATTTGTAGAGAAAAATGATACAATTTTAATAATATTCCCTCCAACTAAGAGACTAAGAATAGATATTTGAATTTTGAATAGTTTCTTTTTCAACTAGATAAGATTTTCAATGAGAGTCGCAGAATGATGAGAAATTGATGATTGATCTTATTCAATATATCTTTTGTGTCTCTTTCTCTAAGACTTAAGGTCATAATAATAATAATAATAATAATAATAATAATAATGATATTATTATTATTATTATTATTATTATTATTATTATTCTTACATAAGATTTTTTGAGAATATATATATATATATATATATATATATATATATATATATATATATATATATATATATATATATATATATATATATAGGGAATCTAACATTCCCAAGGAATGTCACATTCCCTCCACATATGATTTTGAAGGGAATGTATTCCCTTCAAAATCTTAGGTAATGTAAGATAACCTTGGTTATGTTAGTTTATTATTATTATATATTTATATATATATATATATATATATATATATATATATATATATATATAAATTATTTTTGTAATTATATATATTTTTTATTTTTATTATGTTATGTTAGCTTATAAAATAATTTTGTTTCTCAAGTTCAAGATTTTAGTTAATATTTTAAAATCATGTAATTATATATGATACCGTTATCTTATTTATTTATTTTAATTTTTAAATTTATTAAAATATATGAAAATATGTTAAGGATATTATAGTGTGTATAAAAGATAACCATAAACCAAACATCATTATATTACATACCCCAATTTTAACTAAACACAGGAATCTAACATTCCAAGTAATCTAACATTCCTAGCAATCTAACATTCCCTAAGGTAATCTTACATTCCATGAACCAAACGACCCCTAAGAATACAAATCACGCACCTTAAGCACAAACACACGCACCTTAAGCACAAAACTCATGCACCTTAAGTTTCAACAACTACTCACATTAAGTACACACCCACGCACCTTAAGCACAAAACTCAGGCACCTTAAACACAAGATTCACGCACCTTAAGTACAAAACTCGCGTACCTTAAGTACAAAATTCATGCACCTTAAGTTTCAACAACTACTCACATTAAGTACACACCCACGCACCTTAAGCACAAGACTCACGCACCTTAAGTACAAAATTCAGGCACCTTAATCACCGCACAACCGCATAGGAGACACTCAACCGTATGGAAACTTAATTATATATATATATATATATATATATATATATATATATATATATATATATATATAGGCTATGGATCCTATGAGAACACTTCTATCGGAGAGAAATAAGAACCAATATCATATTAAAAAAAAAATGCGGTGGCAGTTTCGTAATTATCATTAGCTCCATTGTGCAAACTTTAAAACTTAATATGTAATCTTTAACAACTAAATATACAAACCTGGTAAATTCTATAAAATCAACGTAAAAGCTAAATTTTAAATATAAATTGTAAATGTTTGACCTTAAACAGTAAAAAGTGAACCACTGGACCAAATAAAATAAAAACTCAGTCATAAAACTCTAAAATAGAATCCTAATTGCAATGTACTTTCACAATTTTGCAAGTGTAAACTTTTAATACTAAATATGCAAAATGTTTAACAGTAAATGTGAAACACGTTAATACTAAATGTGTCATCGCGTTTGCATAGTAAAGTTCGTGATAATTACGAAACTATCATCGCGTTTTTTTTTTAATCTGATCTGGTGCGTTCAAATTTTCCAGATGTAAAGTTGTAATTAGTTCTTAGTTTTCTTCTACGAACTTATTCTCATATGATCCAACACACACACACACACACACACACACACACACACACACACACACACACACATATATATATATATATATATATATATATATATATATATAGGGAAGGGTTCAGGTGCGGGTATAGCTTCCTGTGCGGTTGTGTGGGTGATTAATGTGCGTGAATTTTATACTTAGTGTGTGTGAGTATTGTGTTTAAGGTGCGTGAGGTTTGTGCTTAATATGCGTGAGTTTTAACAAGTTTTCAATATGCTGGAAATTCAGCATTTTTAGTTGATAATGTTTCTTGCATTTTAATACACTGGAAAGTATGCATTTCAATGTCTTAGTATCTATTCTTTTAATTTGTTTGCAGTGTGCAAAGGTATATGTGGATAGTTGCAGTTTAACAATGGATATAGATTTGTTTATTCAATTATAGAGTTGCTTGGTTCCACAAGCACTACATACCCTGAATATCTCTGTTGCTATTTCTTTCACCACGTACTTCTTTCAGTAAGTTACTATTTTCTTATACCTCACGCACATTAAGCACAAACCTCACGCACCTTAAGCACAAGACTCACACACACTTTAAGCACAAAACTCATGCACTTAAAGTTTCAACAACAATTCACATTAAATGCACACTCACATACATTAAGCACAAAACTCACGTACCTTAGGCACAAGACTCACACACCTTAAGTACAAAACTCACGCACATTAACATTACACACTCACGCACATTAAGTACAAATTTCAGGCACATTATGCACAAGACTCACGTACATTAAGTATAAAACTCACACACATTAATCAACCGCACAACCGCACGAAAAGCATTCAACCGCACTGGAACCTTTCACTATATATATATATATATATATATATATATATATATATATATATATATATATATATATATATATATATATATATATATATATATATATATATATATATATATATATATATATATATATATATAAAATAAAGTTCAAATGCGGCGGGGTCTTCCCGTGCGGCGGAATTCCAGAATACACCAACAGTGTTAACAATATGCACCAACAGTGTAATAAAAACACACCACAATGAAATGCAATAAGACACCACAAAATACACAACATACTCAAAAAAATACACCATATAACTCACCACACCCAATGGTGTATTTTCGAACAGTGTATGATGTTTTTACTCACACCTAATGGTGTGTGTTTGGTGATGCGGGGCTCTGTTTACTCTGTTTTGTGTGGTGTATTTTCCTAACGTTGATGGTGCATATTTGTTGAACTATTAGTGTTGCCGCATCGTAAGAAATCGTCGCACCGTAAGACACTGCCGCACCTGAACTCGCCTATATATATATATATATATATATATATATATATATATATATATATATATATATATATATATAAACACACACCACAATTTAATAAATAAAAAATCATGTAACAAATAAGCACTATTTACATTCACCATAGAATCAAATAAATAAATAAATAATTATATAAAATTGTGATAGAGAAAAAAAAAAAACCTTAAACAAATTTTAAGTTGAATTAAGGGTAAAGTAGAAAATAAAAAATGTAGTCTATTCTTGAAAATTCGGGAATAACCTAATACCAAGGATTCCTGAAATAACTATTCTTCGTGAACAATATTCTTAAGAAAAAAAATGCATAACAAACAATAAAATAGTTTTATTTTCGGAATGTGATTATATTTCAGGCCTATTCCACGAATCAAACATAGTATAAGTTTTTAAAAGAGTTTTCCTATAGATTTGTTCAATAATAATGTCCATTGATTCACATGATTCATGAAGCAAAAAAACAAACAAACAAAATTATGAGGACGGATCGTGATATTCGTGGCGGTGTAATTGCTTTGTTTTGGATGCCTTTGTGGTGTCGCACAAAACCACATCAATTATCCACTTTCTTGATTAAAAAAAAAAAAAAAAAAAAAAAAAAAAAGAGGAAAAAAAAATATTGAACCATCTCCATCTCCAGGAGACAAAGATAGACACCCATTGAAGAAAAATGGTTCCTTGAATCTTTCATGATACAGAAGAAGTTCTTGAAGTCCTTTTCACCCATCAATTATACATTCTTGAATTGAAAATGGCCAATATTGAAAGAGATGGATACTATTGCCTCACCAGTGCCATAATAAAGCTGTATGTGAGACTTGTCCCTGTTGTAGAAGACCGGTCACTTTCTTCAAACCATTCTTTAATTTCTTGTGTAGTTGAACATACAGGAAGCTATATATATATAAGCTGTAAAACTTTGATTCTCAAGTGTTTCAAAATTAACTTGTCAAATCGCCACCTTAAAAATTTAGTCAAATAGACTGAGAAACCAATAAATTACAGAGGACTTAAAATTTGATTGAAATAACAGAAAAAGAAAGGTTTCAACTTCCAATATTATAACAAGAAGAAGAATATCTGGTAATGAAATTTTGTGCAAGGCATGGCATATATACAGATTAAGAATAGGAAGCCTATAGCTCGACACCTGTCAATCTTAACTGTACAGTTTTTGCTCGTCTTGCTGGGACTCAGACTTCAGACTTCACCACTACGTCAAAAACTATAGTTCGCAGTGAAGGCACGCAACTTTATTCCTTAAACCGCCATTAAATTTTCGAGAGGCAGGGTGCTGGGCTTGGCCCTTCACCGTTCTCCGTCCAACAATCCCTTAGCCACCAATTGCTGGACTTGACCTGTTACCGGTGAAATTTATGCTAGGAAAATTGGCTAGAAGCAGCAGAGAGTCTCTGAAAAGGCTTACTACCAGTACACAAATTTGCAGCCTGCAAAGAAGGGTGCTGATTCTGAAGCCAAGTTGATGCAGTGGTACTGAAAGAACCTTCTTCTGTGACTGTGAACTGCGGTTCGGGTTGGTTTGGAATGGCGTTTCCTAGGAGATATTCAGACCATTTGATGTCTTCTGGATCAGATAATTTTTCTGATTTTTCAGAGCCTGAGACTAACCATGGAAAGCCACTGGTGTTAAAGAAAGCAGGGCTGCCTTGAAGTTTAACACTGCTACTGCAATGGTGATCAAGAACTGAATTGGGATTGGGATTGAACCCAGAAATCATCTGAGAAGACTTGGGGTTGTTGAATTCTACGAGGTTGTTGAAGACTTGGGGTTTTTCTGCATTCTCAACCTGGGGGAGTGGTTTGTGAGTGTTGGGATCAATCCCTTTCTGCCTTAGCTTTTTCTTGATGGAAGAATTCCACAGGTTCTTGATTTCGTTGTCGGTTCGTCCGGGTAATCTGGCTGCAATCTGAGACCACCTGCCTCGAGAAACATACTCTTGTGTGAGAACAAATGACCGACGACTATAGGTAAAATGAGACAGAAAGAGTAGTAATATATCAAAAGAAAAAGAGTGATTAATTTAATAACTTGTTGCCTAAAAGTGCATGGAGTTCAATTATCAAATTCTCTTCTTCCTGTGAAAATGTCCCTCTTTTCAAATCTGGCCTCAGGTAATTTATCCACCTCAACCGACAGCTCTTCCCACACCTCTCAAGTCCTAAACAAAACAATAAGAGATCATTATTCTTTACAAATTAAAGAAAACAAAACATATATAGGATGGGATTATTGAATTGAAGTTTATAATTACCTGCCAATTTTGGGACTGAGCTCCAACAGCCATGGCCAGATTTGGCAATATGATTAATAAGCTTCTCATCTTCCTCAGGGGACCAAAGCCCTTTCCTCAGCTTCTGTTTGTAGCAGCAAGAATGCCTCCCCATGTGCCCTGAATACGCAATGCTAGCTTGCTAGCTGCAAATTTTCTTCTTTTTGTTTTTGTTTTATTTTGTGTTTGGTTAAGCTTCTAGTAGTTGTGTGCTTGTCAGCGCAAAAGAAGAAGACGATTCTATGTTCTGGGAGGCAAGAAATTGAAGATGATGATGATGTGATAATAATTGGCTAAGGGCGTGAGGGTGGTGGGGTGGGAGCGTGGAGAAAATTACAGGGGCTAGGAAACGCATTGATAGAGAGAGAGAGTTGAGGAGCTTTAAAAAGGTCATATATTTCATCCCATGGATCAATTTCTAAATCATGATTAGGGGTGTCAATGTGGGACAACTCATCTCATTGTGGGTTGTAATTTTTGAGAGCCTTTTGCAGGTTGGTCTCCGAAGTTTACGAGTAAAAATTCAACTCTAACCCGCATTATACAGGTTTGTGGGGCCCACAAGCTAGCCTGTGAGGCCTGCATTATATTTTTGCAGGCCAAAAATTTTAGGTCATAACCCAGAAATCAGCTTTACCGCGGAGCGGTTTAGGACTGGTCGACTGGCTTCCACCCGCTTTGACACCCCTAATTATGAGGTTATATTATGGACTAGGGTCTATCTTGCGTTGTGGACCCTAGTTTAAAAATTATGTTTGCAGTTAGCATGTTATGTGCTTGTAGTTATTTGTAAATAAATTGAAAACACATAATATGTTAACTATAGGCAAATAATATGTTAACTACAAACACATAATATATAGTTAATATATTATGTGTAAGTAACATATTATGCGTATGTAGTTAACAAATTATGTACCATTTGCAGGCACATAATGTAGTTAACAAATAATTATGCCTTCAATTTATTTACTGGCACATAATTTATTAACTAAAAATACATAATATGTTAACTGCAAACACACAATTTAAATGTCATTTTGAACCATTATCCACAATACAAGGTGAATTCTGATCCATGGTATGATTTGCCGGGTTATATAATTAGGTTAAGAATTATTAGCTCAAAAATTCAAATATTATATGTTGTGATAATTAAATTTTAATTTTGACAATTTAATACAAAAGTATTAAAATTTTGTATCATAATCTTTGACTTATGATGCATGAAAACTTTTTTTTTTTTTTGAAAACTGCATGAGAACTTTTTAAAATGTGTATTTTCATATTCTATGCATGTTTTTACACAATAAGTTCACTTGAAGTGTTTTCAAAAAAAAAAAAAAAATGTTCACTTGAAGTAGTTCCGAAATGTTTCAAGACAATTTTCATTGTTAAAACAATTCCATGGTGCATTATTAAAAAAATGTGTCTTTTTTGGAAATGTTTCAGGGTCTAATTGATAAAATTTATTATCATTAGAAACAATATATATAATTATATATATACACACACACTTATGAAGCGTTTGGTTCAAAAAATAAAAATAAAGAAAATATAATATAATTCCAAGAAGAGTATTTGATCCAACAAGAAAATAAAATTAATAGAACAGAAATACTATTCCACTGTTTAATTCATAAAAGAAATAAATAACAGAATAAATTTATTTCACAGAATGTTATTCTATTCCTAATATATTCCACGAAGCAAACGTCACCTAATAATTGTGTATTACTTTTAACTATGGAATTCATAAACAATTAGTATAAAAAGTAATTCCAAATATACTTTTACATTTTTATATTTGCATGTTCCATTTATCCTATGAAAAATATATCTAATTATACTATTTAACTTAGAAAAAGTTCAATATACCCCAACCTTATACCATAAAAGGGTTCACAGTGCACTGTGAATCCTGGTGCATGTGTATGTGTTTTATGTTGTGAGTTTTTGTATTTTGTGTTATGAAATTTTGTACTTTAAGAGTATGAATTTTGTATTTGAAACAAATTAGTAATTGTGTCTTTTGTTATAAATTTATGTGTCTTGTGTTGTGAACTTTTGTGCTTATAAACACAAATTATGTACCTAAATCAGATTTGATAAATAAATAAATATATAACATGTGTATGTGTCTTGTATTGTGATTTTTTGTGTCTTGTGTTATGAAATTATGTATCTTACGAGTATGAATTTTGTACCTTGTCGTTTTGATCCAAGATCCATAATGTTATGTGGACCTAGTCCATTATACAAATTGCCCCATCTACCCCACCCAACTATGTTGACTATTAGTTGGCATATAAATTACTTAAAAGATTATACTTCAATATTCACTTCTTCTTTTTTTTTTTTTTTTTTTTTTTTTTTTTTTTTTATGTGGATGCAAAGGAATGGATTTTTAAACAACTAATATATATCTCTTGATAGACAACTTAGCAAGGTCAAATTAGATCTTTCTTATGTTAATAGTAAGATAGGATATAATCATCACATGCTACAAAATATTTGTATACCATTGTCATAAGTTTAAAAAAAATAGATTTAAAAAAAAAATCAATATGTCATTAGGTGAATAACAAATTTGACCATCTTATGGTATACTTTTAATTAGTTATCTTCCTACAGATTTTATTGACTAAAATGTTAGGTTTAAAAAAAATTAAAAAAAAAACCTGCAATGCATGGAAGATATTATATTAAAATAAATTTGAATAACAAATTATAAAGATTGATTGATATTTGAAAACAATATTGGATTATGATAATGGTGTAAAATCATATATTACAAATTCTAGAATTTTGTTATATACAATTTTCATATAATCTAATATAAAATAGTAATTTTTTTTTTTGTCTCTGAACTATATAGAAATAACACATTTCTTCTATCAATTATACCGTTACCATTTTTAATTTTTCAATTATTTATGAAATGATTGTTTTAACCGCCCAATCCTAATTGAACAAAAAGATGAGGAAAAACTACTTAGCAAACAATTCAGGACAAAAAGTGAAAACATATATAAATGAGGGACAAAACGTTCTATTTTCCAATAACAAAGAGAGAATGCAAGAGATATATATAGAGAGAAAGAGAGATGATCATATTATTCATCTTATTATGAAGTCTAAAGGATGAAAAAGTTTACAAGAATATTTTTTTTTTAATAGTAATATCCACTATTTATTTATTTACAATAAAAGTATGTTTTTTTTAAAAGGACAATAAAAGTATGTTAATTTCACTTCTTTATTAATTCAACTATTTGCATTAAACATTTTCCGATCGATTTCATGATTTAATCACATTTAAAAAAAAAAAAATTGGTAATTTACTTGGCTCTCATCTCTTTTTATCCATATCTAGTCTAGATATAAGGCTCTATAAGCAAACTTAGTAGTTGAAGTTTAATGTTGAAAGCTAATAAACTAGATTATTAGAATTAGCCAATTATCATGTAGTGTGATGTTATCCCAGTTAGCATTCAAAATGAGTAGTTATAGGTTTGGACCCCGGTAAAGAATCATGAGTATTAAAAAAAATATTAATAGATTAATTAAATCATTCTATATATTTAATTTAAAATTAATTAGATGACATAATATTATAGTGTTGTAATATATTTTTGAAGTTCACATAATAAAATAGATATATGATGTAATATATAAGTTGGTTTTAATATTCAAATGTGTTAATACATTAATATAATGGTCCTTTGAGTATTTGAGTGTTACCACCAAATTCTTGAGTATAAAATGATTAGCAAACTTTTTTCGAGTATAAAAAAAATGACAACTTGTAGTCTTCTGTTAGAAAAGACGTTAAATTGAAGGGTAAACGTATTATTTCCTACATATCTTCATATATTTAACCTAAAGACATATATGCAAGAAACAAATTAACTGCAAATCTTTAAAAAAGGAATAAGAGTCAAATAGACCATCGAACTATACCCAAACACTCAACGTCCCCTCCCCACCTTTGTCTCTGCCAAAGATTAAGAACATGACTTTGTCTCCAGTTGTAGACGAATAATGTTCTTCCTCTTCAGATTAGAGATGAAGACTATTTCTTTTTCCCCCTATCGGAGACAAAGAGATCTTTTCGTCTCCATACTAGAGACGAGGAACCTTCTTTGTCTCTGACCTGGAGACGAAAGCGGTAAGGGGAAGGGTTTTTAGTTTTTATTTTATTTAAAATTATTAAAATAAATATAAAATATATTTTTTTAATAATGTAACCTCTATGTCAGCAAATATCGAGTAAACAAGTCATTTTAGATTCAATTGCATTACTTTCTATTTTTTAGGGATCCAATTACATTTTTTAAGTCGAATAGCCCAATTGCAATTCGATGGCCTGTATGACCCTTATTCCAAATTATTAAAATAAATTTTAAAAATTATATTATTGAAAAGGTAGACATCACGTCAACAAAGACCAGATAAACATACCATTTTAGGTTCAATTAAAGTTTTGCGTGTTATTTGATGACATATTTGACCCTTTTGTTTGTGTGTTGTAATAATTATAAAATTGACCACATGTTTTCTTTTTACTAAAACTTTCCAATCATTGATGAACCTTGATGGGTAGTTGAAATCAATTCTCACTTTCACAAGACGATCATATTCTCATTTATGAGTTCAATAAATTATAAAGGCCGGCCTTGTGGTCGAGTGACATAGTTGTGACTTTTCAAGTGAGAGGTCTCAGATTTGAATCACAGTGTGGGGTATGGACTCTTTGTACTTCAGTAGGTTGAGAAAATATGTCTGAACATATATTACGTTGTAACATAGTCAATAGTACTAAAAAAAAAAAAAATTATACTTACAAAAATGTTTTTGAAATATTTTTATAGAAGTTACTCTATATATCCATTTTACCTATTTTGTTTTACACCAATTTTTTTAACCTATTTTGTTTATTATTCATTTGTCAAACCAGCATTTTTTTTCTTTGCTAATTTTCTTATAATTTATAAATATAATTTTAAAAATACTTTTAATGTAGTTTCTAAATATAAAAATTTATATACTAACACAAATTTTATATTATAAAAAATTGAAATGTAAATAACTTTTAATCAAGTCTCGTTAATCGAATCATACACAAAACAGAGGGGTATATTATTATAGGAAAAATAATATGTTCATAATTAATATAATAATATTTGTATACTAGTGAATCCTTGTTAAATAATAATAATAATAATAATAATAATAATAATAATAATAAAATAATAATAATAATAATGGAGATCTAATATCTTAGTTAGAACTGAGAATGAAGAAGAGTTAGGTTTTAATGGGGATGTATATATGGTGTTATTTTTGTAAAGTAATAAGGATAGAAGTAAAATAAGTA